CGGGGGGAGTTCTATGAATGTGCTTTGCTTCCCGAGCTAGTTTCAGGCATTCAGCCGACGGTCTCCCTTTGGCTTTTTAATGTGTGACATATAGATCATATTTATTCCAATGCTCAATTAAGTTTTTGGATTCTTAAAAGCCCCCGTCATCAGGAAAGACGCCAGCTGCTTCCAGGCTATATTCGCTGCACTGGCTCAGCTTTCTCATGCAGTCTTATACCTCAAGGCAGAAATATGTTTACCAGAAAGAAATAAAACTTAAGTTGGGAGGGGGAAGAGATAGACTGCAAAAGGGTTTACCTGGGGGGCAGGAAGGGAGATTTACCCAGTTCCTTTTCAGTATGCATGATTTCCCTGATTTCCTTCCGTGGAGTGGCACCTAAAATGTTGTAGCTGTGTTCCTTTTACTGGTCTTGTTTGTGAGGCAGTTATATTGGGCTGTCGGGCCGGGGAGGGTGGGTGAGTGGAGGATTGACGTGATATGCTCGTTGTTGAACAAGACATGATGCTGTGTGGCTTGATGGGAACGAGGGAGGAGTTTCTCTTAAAGAGCTTGGAACACTTTTTAAAAAAAGCTTTTGTACCTGAATAGAACGAGGCGCTCTTGGATGGGGAGCAGAGGACTTTTAAAGAAGAGAGCCGGCAGACTTTTAAAGAATAATCGCATTACTGCTAGCAAAGCGAAGCCAGAGCATAGCTTTAATCCTCCCATAAGTTCATTTGCAAGTGAAATTAGAAATTGAAAGTGAGGCTGGCATTTGCTCATTGCTCCTGATTGATAAGTGGTAAACTGTGCAATTTTATTTTTTTTAATGCTACCATATATTTCAGCTATCGGTAATTATATCAGTGCTAACACCTGCTTGGTGCTGTCAAGTATTTCAGAGTGCTTCCTATTATGTTATTCTTACAACTACCTTGTAAGGTGGTATTATTATTCCCATTTTGCGCTAGGGTGGGCTGATGGAATCAGGCTGCCGTGTGAGTTTGTGGATGAGCCGTGATCCAAATCTGGAGCTTTAATGATTCATAGCTCAGCCTCTCAAGATTATATTGAAGTGGCGTTGGAAAGTGCCGACTGGTAGGGTATCAAGTGGTATGAGTGGAAATCAGTCTCTGAATCTTACGACTTAATCTTACGACTTTGGCTTTGCTCTATCTCATATAATGCTTAGAGCAGCAGTTCTGAAATCTCATGGTTTTCTGGACTATTTAAAAATTGCCAGAGGGCTTGGCAGACCACTTAATATACTCCCCACCCCCCTGGAATCAGAGCCCCTTTAATTGATAAAAAGCTTTTTTGGGAAATGGTTGATTGCACCAGCACTGTAATATGGAAATACAGTGGTACCTTGGGTTAAGAACTTAATTCGTTCTGGGGGTCCGTTCTTAACCTGAAACTGTTCTTAACCTGAAGCACCACTTTAGTTAATGGGGCCTCCCGCCACTGCTGCACGATTTCTGTTCTCATCCTGAAGCAAAGTTCTTAACCCGAGGCACTATTTCTGGATTAGCGGAGTCCGTAACCTGAAGCGTATGTAACCTGAAGCGTCTGTAACCTGAGGTACCACTGTAATGGGATCTAGGCCAGAACACTTTTACCCTGCTTGATAAATCCAGTCCAGGTCAAAAGCCACTGATCCCTATTGTCAGAAAAATAAGGCCAAGTAAAGTATTCTTGACTGCTCTTCCACAACCTTTCATGGACCACCTGGATGGACTGCCATTCCTACCATAGGTCCGTAAACCACACTTTAGGAGCCCAAGAATTGGGCTTAGGGATTCCATGGTTATTGTGCAGGACAGATTTAGATCTCCACTAGCCCCTGAAGCCTTACCTCTAGCCTGTGGTTTTCTCTTTTTGGGTTTCCTCATTGCCTAACAGCAGAAGACTAAGCTACCCTGTTTCAGATACAGCTGGAGATTTTTTAATTGGCAGTGAAAATTCACCTGCAGCAGGCAGGATGCAAAATTATATGACCGCCCGAGTGGCCATTGTCTCACCACCGGTGATTGTGTCAGTGTGACCTCAGGTCCACTTGAATTGTTTCCTAAGCGACAATTGTTCAGTTGTCCTATAGCAGCTATTGGGCACATGGCTCTGGGATCAGGCAAAGGAAGCCGCCTATCAACAGGATGCCAATCAGCACTTAGTGGCCTGGACCACCTGCCAACAGACTGCCAATCAGCACTTAGTGGCTCAGCCACTGAGCTATAAAGCAGGAATGCCCTACCTTAAATTTTGCCTCTGCTATAGCCCCACTAGTGCCTAGGTCTCACTAGTGTGGTAAACACAGGTGTTAAGCTGTACACATCTGACTGAAGGTTGAGGCATATGTGACTGAATAAGTACTGATCCATACAAGACATGAATGACAATATAAGTTATTTGCGCATTAAGCCAGATAGCAAGTGTGTCTAGACCAGCCTTCCTCAGCCTTGTGCGCTCTAGATTTTTTGGAATATAGCTCCCCAACCTCATCCCTAGGTTGGGGGAAGCCTGGGCTGAAGTGGAACTCTTCTCCCCTGAAACTCATTCTTTGGCAAGCTGCTTCCTTCACTTGCAAATTTCCAGGCCTGAGCCCATGAGAGTTGGGGGGAGAAATGTCTGGAATCCTGTTGGGTGGTGTTGGGAAGCATGTTGGAGGGAGGTGGGGGAAAAAAAAAGAGATTTTGAAGAAAAGCAATGGAAGGGATTAGTGAGAAGATGGTGCTTTCTGAGTGTGTCGGAGTCTGTCCCAGAGAGAGCCTCTACCCCAGCCTAGACCCAGACTGGAGCTTGTGAGTGGAACAGGGGCATCCCTCCGTGGTTGCTGTGGGCATCAGAAGAGAGCAAGGCCCCTCTTTTCCCACCTGGGGGAAGGTGAAGGGCAGTGGCAAGCACACATTTGGGCAAGCCACCTAGCCTCTCCTTAAGCCATTGTTCCATGGGTTACTGAGAAACTGTATCGAAGGACACCGAACACTAAGAAGCATTATATGCAAGTGTAAAGAGGATGCCGAGCAATCTAGAAACTGAATAGCAGTTTTCTGTCCTTTGAGCAATGCTTTGGTATTTTGCCGATCAAGAAAGCATCCTTTAAATTTGCTACTCAGGAGAAGGACTCTGCGGCTTCTGTTTATAAACAATCGAAGCCATTATTGAATCTGAACAATGGGTGCTACTGAGTGCTGATCTCCTTTGGGAGATCTGCCTTTTTGGCTTGCTAAGTAGTTCAGTTTTCAGCCATCTGGAAGGGAAAAAAAGGTAAACCTACTATCCTAAGCAGCACTGGGGATAGCTATGTCTTCTAACATGTATGGCACATAATACAACCCCAACCACCCCCAAAACAAAAACAAGTAACATTAAGTAGTGTGGTTCACATACCACCCTAAACAATGGTTCATTCATTCATTCATCATTTTATTTGTATGCCACCTTTCCATAGTTAAAACAATGCTCAAGGTGGCTCACAACATGACAAGATTTACATAATTGCCAACATAACAAAAGTCATAAACAATAAATAAAACACATCAAAAAGTACACAACCAGATGGAAAACAATTTCTACATAAATAATAAAATCTAAAACTAAGAGTTTTAGACACGGGTGGCGCTGTGGGTTAAACCACAGAGCCTAGGACTTGCTGATCAGAAGGTCGGCGGTTCGAATCCCTGCGACGGGGTGAGCTCCCGTTGCTCAGTCCCTGCTCCTGCCAACCTCCCGTTGCTCAGTCCCTGCTCCTGCCAACCTAGCAGTTTGAAAGCACGTCAAAGTGCAAGTAGATAAATAGGTACCGCTCTGGCGGGAAGGTAAATAGTGTTTCCGTGCGCTGCTCTGGTTCGCCAGAAGTGGCTTAGTCATGCTGGCCACATGACCCAGAAGCTATACGCCAGCTCCCTCGGCCAATAAAGCGAGATGAGCGCCGCAACCCCAGAGTCGGCCACGACTGGATCTAATGGTCAGGGGTCCCTTTACCTTTACCTTAAGAGTACAGCATTAATATAAATCACAATTTAAAATGACATAGATAAGAAATAAAAGCAATTTAAAAACGAAACAAACAAAAATGGAGCCCTCTCTGCCCAGCAGCAGCGTCAGCAGTCCTTTGTGGTGTCTGTCAGGCCCCGCCCCAAGCCAGGTGGAGAGAAATAGGGCTGGCCCTTCAGGCTCCCAGCAGGTCAGTCCTGGGCAGCAGCAGCAGCAGCAGGTCAGTCCTGGTTTAAAGCAAACACTTAGTATTTTGGGGCACACTGCTTAAAAGCCCCTGCAGTTTTGCTCTCCCACTCTTGCTGATGCTGCACAGGGAAGGAAAGAAGGGAGGCTTGTCATTATGTGCGAACCTAGCCTTGTGGTTTGTTTCTCTGCAAACAGCCAGGAGTGGAAGTCAAAGGTTGTTCATGGCCTTCTGCACGTGGTTTTTTCCAGCGGAAACAAAGCACCTGTCCAGTTCTTATGTAGTGACAACACAAACTGCGACTTGTTTCCTCCCCAGCGTGTCATCAGCAGGAGCAGGGAAAGATCAAAGTGTGAGATGGTAGGTGTGGCTTCAGTCTCTTCCTGTTGGGTGTTTTTAAGAAGTGCCAGTGGTACAGAAGGGGATCATTGTGTGGTGCAGGTGTGCATGATGCTGGCAAGCAGGTGAGTGGATTTATTGAGTCAGTTTAGCTTGAATGGCTTCCTTTGAAGTGTTGGGCTCTTGGAGGTTTTCAGCTGGAGAAGGGAATTCTTTGTCGGGCGATTCCTAGCCCCTCTCTCAGAACTGCATCTCCCCAGAAAGAGGTGATGGCAGACTGTTTGGAACTTTTAAAACTTGGAAGCCTGGCTTTCCAAAATGCAATGCTGTCCCAAACCCCAAAGCTGTATTAAAAGCAAGCCCAGTAATAAGACTGAATGAGAAATGACATCATGCAAGAGAGACCGAAATGGAACACTGTTTCCATGTAATAGGAATGCAGAAAAAAATATTCAGTGCTGGAATTAAGTCCTTCTTATTTTGCTTATTTTTTTGCAGGCAGCCATGGAGGTAGCACTCTCCTTCCACACAACATCAACAACGAATTCCCGGAATATGGGGCTGTGGAGGAAGGTGCCAAAACTTCGGAAATTCCCTCTGAGGTTCACGAAGACGAACTAGTGTGTGTTTCTGACGGGCAGCCATGTGACCAGCTGCCTTCTGAGAACGGCAGACCTAGTGATGGGGTAGAGTTTTTCTCTGAGGGGTTACAAATGGCTCCCCAAGAGGAAGAAGTGTCAGAACAGTTTGGCAGGCCGAGTGAGACTATAGAAACCTCCCAAGATTTAGAATCTGAAAAGGCACTTGACAGGGAAAACGATGCTTTTGGTTCAGAGATGCAAATGGAAAAAGAGAGGAAAGTTGGCAGTGGAGCTGAGGAGGCAGCCAGGGAGATGGTTCTTGCAGGCCAAGAAAAACCTCCAGAAATGCCTCTTCCATCTGAAGCCACAGCGGAGAGAAAATTGTATTGGATCGCAGAAGAAGACTCTATGGTCTTAACTGTGGAAATACAGCCTGAGAGCTTACGAACTGCTGGCAGTGCAACTGAGGAGGCCCACAAAATATGTGAAACCAGTTGCCATAAAGCTCTGGCCCAGCCAGAGGACAGAAAGGTGGGTGCTACAGGAGTCCTTGGCGGTGCCTGGGCAGACTTTGAGCGGGAGTTTTCTGTGTTTGATTCAGACAAGGAAGAAAGAGCGCCCGAGAGGAGGATATCCAAAGAGGCGGCTGTGAGCAAACACGTGGAATTTCAAGGGGTGGAAATCCTTTGGATCCAAAAAGCAGAGGAGGAGAAGGAAACCGGACTCTCTGACACGGATAGTGTAGAAAGAAGAGTCTCAAAACACCACACACCACCGGCAGTCTCATCAGAATTGGACTGTTTGCCAGAACGCTCCTGGAATGTATCCTGGGAAAACTTCAGGCCTTTAACTTCGCTGGCTGAAGGTGGAGAGGATGAAGTCTTCATAGTAGAGGAAAAGAAGAACTGGGCACTGGAGAGGAAATCTATGTTGGACAAGGACAGGTAAAAAAGGAAAAAGAATGAGAGAATGAGCAAGTCTCTCACTCTGTCTCTACAGATTTGGGAGGGAACACAGTTCATACTTAAGAGTGCTACTAGGCAACATGTTAGATACAGTCGTACCTTGGTTGTTGAACAGAATCCATTCCGGGAGTCCGTTCAACTTCCGAAAATGCACTCAATCGGAAGCCGCATTGGATGTTTGGCTTTCAAAGAACATTCACAAACCGGAACCCTCACTTCGGGTTTGCGGCTTTCAGGAGTCAAAACGTTCAAGTCACAAGGCATTCGGGATCCAAGGTATGACTGTATTGGCTTCATAATGTTCTTGGGATGGTATCCTGTTGTTCAACACAAGGATTGTATTGATCAATACAAACAGTGTATACTGTTGTGCGTAAGGCATGATACAAAACACCCATAACCCCCCGTCCCCCTGTGGCAATAAAAGCAACACCATTTAACCACCAGAAAACCTTATCCTAAGCAGTTTTCTCAAACAGTTTGGTCTTAAAACATTTTTTGTTCAGGCAACCCTATTCAGACATGTAGAACTTACATGTGTTTTATCCAGGGCTTTTTTCAGCCACGATTTGATGGAGCTCAGTCCCAGCACCTCTCAGGTGGGCACCATTGCTATTATAAGAGAACAAGGGAGGTGTTCGTGGTGAATTCCAGCACCTCTTTTTTTAGAAAAATAGCACTGGTCTTACTTCTTTTTCGCTGCTGTTTGCTTTAATCATCCTTTGAAGCTTTTAAATACTTGTTTTAACTGAGTATTTTAGTGATTTAATTTAAATTTTTGTAAACTGCTTAATTTTTGTTTTGTTTTGCAGTCAATACTGCTGAATAAATAACTAAAACAAATAACACCAAAGCACACAACAACTGTGGGTGACCAGGAAATCTCTTGTTTCTTCAGTGGCTAAGGGCTGTAGGTTTAGGAGAATTAAGAACTAGTTTATCAAGCTGCCTAAAACCATTCAGCGGGTGCAGCTTGCTGAGTCTCTAGAGGGAGAGAGGTTCACCGTCTTTGTGCTACAACTACGTCTCAGGTGTTTGCCAAAGAAACTTTCAGTGGGCAAAGAACCCTGAACTAAGTTTCTCTGTAGAAGAGGCTTGCTTTGGCTGAAGCATTCCTGAAGCTATGGTAACTAGCTTGGAGGGGACTTGACCATTATGGTGACCTGCAGCCATACAAATGAATATTTTTGCCCATTATTTATTTCAACTACAACCGCATAGTTAATCTTCAAGCTGTGTGTTTAGCAATGGGAACAGCACGAAACTCTCTCCCCTTATTCCAATACCTGAATGCTCATTATTTAACCCAACTTTTTACAAACAACTGCCTCAAAACAACAGCATGTCTCTCTGTCATGTATTAACTGCACTAGAATGATTTGTGCATTTTTTAAAAAAAAGGTTAACAGATCTTGCAGATATTTTTTTCTGAACACTTTGGCTGTGAAACTCTGCACCCCCCTCCCCACCGCCTTTCATTTCTTTGGATGCTTCTATCATAGCAACAGGAAAGCTCTACCAGCAAGCAACAAACAAATTCTGGTTCAAGGCCAGTTACAAGCTGCTTTTTGAAATGCTAAATGAATGCATCTGGCGTCACTCCCTTTTGATTATTCAGGTTATTTCAAAGCTGGTCAGAATGTTCAGCCTGGCTTCCTGACTGCAGGCAAGCTATGAATGAGAATGAGAGTTTTGCAGGAACGTGGGGGGTGAAGAGGGGGGAGACGCTCCCCTCCCCATCACCTTGGTTTTACGTCCAGCAGAAGGGGAAGTAGGGTCTAAGTGCAGACTGGGGGGTGGAGAAACTGGGTTATGAGGAGTTTGGATTTGATATCCCGCTTTATCACTACCCTAAGGAGTCTCAAAGTGGCTAACATTCTCCTTTCCCTTCCCCACAACAAACACTCTGTGAGGTGAGTGAGGCTGAGAGACTTCAAAGAAATGTGGCTAGCCCAAGGTCACCCAGCAGCTGCATGTGGAGGAGCGGGGAATCGAACCCGGTTCACCAGATTACCACTCTTAACCACTACACCACACTGGCTCTCTCATTTCATGAGTAGATGAAGCGTTGGAATAGACACTGCTGAATGTGTTGGAAGGGAAACAGGTGAAACTGAGACACCTCTCAGCATCTTTGTCCTGAGACATATCTGTAGTTGGCAGAGACCACTTGGCTGGCATCTTGACGGCATTGATTGTCTCTGTTTGCTTGCCACCTGGTGTGTAAATATGCCAAGAGGAGTTTGAGTGAGTCCCATTGTGCATGTGGGCTCTCCCCTACCACGCACAGAGCTTTGGATAGGAACTGAGCGCTATTACCTTATTTAAATCGTTCATACCTCACCCTTCATTAACCCCAGAGAGGCAAACAACATTACAAATGTTACCATGAAACAATATTTCATTTAAATGCAGCTTAGTCTATTGTCTGGTTTTACATTCACAACACAACTGCACTTGCCAAATGAGAGGCACCACTGGAGTCAAGATGTTTGGCTGCAGAGCATCACAGCTCCATCCGTTTTGGTGCTGCTCACGCCAGAGAGGGGCAGCGTTTGAGATTCGGGCTGCCACTATTGAGAACGCCCTTCACGAGGCGACTGCTCAGCTTCAGATTGGTGATTGGCTAAGGTAGCTGGAGTTGTGGTTTGACAACAACTGGACAGGCAGGCTTGATGAGCACTGAACGAGGCAACCCCCTGCAACGCTGGCACTTCCCAGATCCTGTTGCTGTTGCCCCCATCACCACTATATTCCGGGACTTCCTCTGTCCCAGCCTTGCTATGGTTTGGAATTTGAGGGGAGAAAGGCAAATCTCTGTTGTACCTTTATTTCACAGGCAACATTAGGGGGTTCTCCTTCTATGAACCTATTTTGCTTTTTTAGAACAGCTTGCTTTAGCCGCTCCTAGGCAAGAAGAAGAGTTTGGATTTGATATCCTGCTTTATCACTACCCGAAGGAGTCTCAAAGTGGCTAACATTCTCCTTTCCCTTCCTCCCTCACAACAAACACTCTGTGAGATGTGTGGGCTGAGAGACTTCAGAGAAGTGTGACTAGCCCAAGGTCACGCAGCAGCTGCATGTGGAGGAGCGGAGACGCGAACCCGGTTCCCCAGATTACGAGACTACCACTCTTAACCACTACACCACACTTTGCTGCTCCAGCTTGGTTTCAGTTTCCTCTAACGCTGTAAACCAGGGGCCAGCGAACTTGCCATGCCTTGGGCCGGTGTCTCCAACGCCGACAGGCCGGAGGGCAGGGGAGCGCGTGCCCAAAAGCGTGCGCACACGCTATTTCTGGCACACTTTTGGGTCAGAGGAGCACTGGAAATAGCTTGTGCGTATGTCCACAGGCGTCCTCCAAACCAGATGTGCACTGGAAATAACGCTTGCTCATGTGCAAATAATGCTTGTGCATGCGCACAAGCTATTTCTGGTGTTCCTCCAACCCGGAAGTGGGCAGTGGACGGCGGGGGTTACCGCAGGCCGGATAAACAAGTCCCTTGGGCCTTATCCAGCCTGTGGGCCTTAGTTTGGGGACCCCTGCTGTAAACTATGCAGCAGCAATAGGCAACTTCTTTAGTTGTAGCTTGCATTCTGTCTTCATCTATATTGTAAGCAAGCAAATTAACTGTATAAACATGATGGAGGAATGAGTAATATGTGTTACCAACCGTTAGAAGCAGAATATAATCAAGTTTATTTTATTTTATTATTATTTTTTGCAGAATTTGTTTAATTAGTTTTCAATTACATTCCAATAATAGCCTCTTTATAACAATGCCAATTTATAATTCAATTATTAATACCAATCATTCAAACACCAAATTATAAAATTTAATTAAAGTGGCTAGATTTCATGGCTTTCTAATTTTCTTTATTTCTGCGTTCCAAAATCTTACTAGTTTCAATTACATTCCGGTCATAATAATAATCCCTTATACAACAGCTGCAATGTTAATAACTTCTATATGTGTTGACGCATTAAATGATTTACAAAACTTCAAGTGAGGGAGTCAAAACTATATAATTGTTCTTTCCTGTGGGTAGCAATTATTCTGTCCATGGTGTTTCTTCCTGTCCTTGTAAGACATTATATCTTTCTCCCCTCGCCCCCCCCCCGGCTTGTTGCTGTTATCCATCATTCCTTGGGCGGAGCTGATATCCCATTGTTATAATGAAGTTTAGCTTAAACTGTTTGAACAACTAACCTCCTGGATCAAACGGCAGCTGCTATATCAAATATTATTTGGTTGGCTCCATGCCTCTCAATGGGGTGTAGTCCTTTATCTGAAAAGGTAATCACCTGGGCCAGATGCAATTCCTCACAAGAGTAGTTCTTAAAATTAAATTTATTCCAGTAGACTTATTTGTGAAAGGACAGAATTTATACAGAGTCACTAGAACGCCTTATTCCATGGGTAGGCAAACTAAGGCCCCGGGGCCGGATTCGGCCCAGTCGCCTTCTAAATCTGGCCTGCGGATGGTCTGGGAATCAGCGTGTTTTTACATGAGTAGAATGTGCCCTTTTATTTAAAATGCATCTCTGGGTTATTTGTGGGGCCTGCCTGGTGTTTTTACATGAGTAGAATATGTGCTTTTATTTAAAATGCACCTCTGGGTTATTTGTGGGGCATAGGAATTCGTTCATTATAATTTTTTCCCAAAATATAGTCCAGCCCCCCCCACAAGGTCTGAGGGACAGTGGACCGGCCCCCTGCTGAAAAGGTTTGCTGACCCCTAGGCTGGTGCAGACAGAATGATCCTGACTCAGTTACATGAAGACAATGAATCCCCCCTTCTCTTCTCCTGCTGGGCTGAAGTGTGTTAAAATGTTACACTGGCCTCCATGTTGACCACAGTTAGGCCCCCTCTTAACCAGGATTTGCAGCAGAGCTAAAAAAAGAAGACTGGTTTGCATTATCTACCTTTAACCGTACTTACACCATCCAATCCTTAACCATTAGTAAACGTTGTGAAGGAAGAGTGGGAGACTGTTCATAGCAGAGGGGAAGAAAAAATAAATATTTTCCCCTGTCCTGCTCCTGTTGTTTTTACCATTCTTACAGGTCAAACTACATGTGGCACTCATTAGTGAAACCAATGGGACCTTTTTTGACAATACAAATGACAGGTGCAAGAGACCAGTTCCGATCAGGCGGGATGCAAAGGGTCAAAGCCCCGCTACTTCCCATGCTAAGGTTTCAATGTGAAACAGCCCCCCTTCCATATATACATCCCAAGCAAATGGAATTATGTGCCTAATGTCATGTGCAGTTCGTCTCTATAAGACCAGGAGTTCTATGCTTCTGTGTTGGGACCTAGTGCTGTTTTAGTCAGAGATATTAAGGCTCTGAAAGCTAGTAGATTATGGGTTTCTAAAGCAAAATCCAGTGCCAAAAGCAGATTTTGAAGGATTATCTAAATATTCTTACTATTCTGCTACCCCACCCCATCCCGAGCCATAGTCATTTGACCAAATTGCTTGGTTTACTAACAGATATTTATGGTTTTCATCAAACAGGATTCCTCTTCTCTCTCATCTTAATGGAACAATACGAGGGCTGGGTTAGAAGGAAGCTGGTCTGGCGTTATGTAGACCGTCAGTTATAATCTTTGCCGCTTTCAGAGTGACTTTGAATGTGACAGTTATTTTGATAGCCTTGTTATACCCAGCATTGCTGAGGAATACAGTGCAGTTTTCAAATTGGTGGTTAAAATCAATGCCGTTTTAGAAGGGTTCACAAAGCCATTTGATTCAAAATGGCATTCAGTTGTATCCAGACTTAGCTAGAAATCTGCTTCTTGATCTCAGGAACCAACTTGTAAAATTTAGTTCCAGTATCTTAAAAAGCGTCCAAATGCATGGTGAACAAACAAAACAAATTTCCAAAATATATAGCAGATGGAGATATCAGCAAACACAATAGTCCCTTGCTTCCCTTTTGTTCATCTCTTCCTAAATACCGTATTGGCCCGAATATAAGCTGCACCCAGATATAAGCCGTACCTTTAAAACTGGGGGGAGGAGGGGAGAGAAAAAAGAAAACATACCCGAATATAAGCCACTCCATTCCTGGCGCTGTTTGCTGTGCGCTCCTGGCTGCATACCGTAAGGTCGCAAATATCAGCCACACTTTAACTTTTCACGGTCGGAATTTGGGGGAAAAGTGAGGCTTATATTCAGGCCAGTACGGTAGAACTTTTGAACTTACATGCAAACAAACCACTTTAGCACTTTGCACAAACCCTGCATGCTAGAGGCATCATTGCTTGTGGTATGCACACCCATCCCATTCTTGTCTCCATCCATAGGTTATAGAGCTTCAAAATCACAGAATCATAGAACTGGAAGGGACCGAGAGAGTCATTTACCATAGTCCATCCCCTTGTAATGCAGGAATCTTTTGCTCGAACCCATGTCCCTGAGATTAAGAGTCTGATGCTCTACCAACTGAGCAAAGCCGACCCTGCGGGTTAATTATTTTATTTTATAGATTTTTTATTGTTAAAAAGAATCCTGCAACACGATAATATTGCAACATATTAATATTATAAAATAACAAACAGCTGTGAGCAATATTAAAATAATAGTAAGGTAAAGGTACCCCTGACCATTAGGTCCAGTCGTGGCCAACTCTGGGGTTGCGGCGCTCATCTCGCTTTATTGGCCGAGGGAGCCGGCATACAGCTTCCGGGTCATGTGGCCAGCAGGACTAACCCGCTTCTGGCGAACCAGAGCAGCGCACGGAAACACCGTTTACTTTCCCGCTGGAGCGGTACCTATTTATCTACTTGCACTTTGACGTGCTTTCGAACTGCTAGGTTGGCAGGAGCAGGGACCGAACAACGAGAGCTCACCCTGTCGCGGGGATTCGAACCACTGACCTTCTGATCGGCAAGTCCTAGGCTCTGTGGTTTAATCCACAGCGCCACCCGCGTCCCATTAAAATAACAGCAGACAATAAAACCATTTATTACAATGTGTTGTTGTTTAGTCGTTTAGTCGTGTCCGACTCGTCGTGACCCCATGGACCAGAGCACGCCAGGCACCTCTGTCCTCCACTACCTCCCGCAGTTTGGTCAAACTCATGCTGGTAACCTCAAAAATGCTATCCAACCATCTCGTCCTCTGTCGCCCCCTTCTCCTTGTGCCCTCCATCTTTCCCAGCATCAGTGTCTTCTCCAGGGAGTCTTCTCTTCTCATGAGGTGGCCAAAGTACTTGAGCCTCAGCTTCACGATCTGTCCTTCCAGTGAGCACTCAGGTCTGATTTCCTTAAGAATGGATGCATTTGATCTTCTTGCCGTCCATGGGACTCTCAAGAGTCTTCTCCAGCACCATAATTCAAAAGCATCAATTCTTCGGCGATCAGCCTTCTTTATGGTCCAGCTCTCACTTCCATACATCACTACTGGGAAGACCATGGCTTTAACTATACGGACCTTTGTTGGCAAGGTGACATCTCTACTTCTCAAGATGCTGTCTAGGCCTGTCATTGCCCTTCTCCCAAGAAGCAGGCGTCTTTTAATTTCGTGGCTGCTGTCACCATCTGCAGTGATCATGGCGCCCAAGAAAGTAAAATCTCTCACTGCCTCCATTTCTTCCCCTTCTATTTGCCAGGAGGTGATGGGACCAGTGGCCATGATCTTCGTTTTTTTGATGTTGAGCTTCAGACCATATTTTGCGCTCTCCTCTTTCACCCTCATTAAAAGGTTCTTTATTACAATGTAGTCCTTTTTTTGTTTTAGAAAGTTTTAGGATTCTTCTAAAAACAAATAAGCAGGGGATCACACTTATCTCCCCATGGAAGTTATTACACGGATGGGGAGAAGTGTCTAGGGAAAGGAAGCCTGTGTTCAACTCTCTGAATAGCCATTGTCTGTCCTTTTGTTCTGTGACTTGGCTGCGATGTTTGGAGAACAGACCCAGAAGCTTCAGAATCTCCAAAAGCTAATCTGGAGTAGAGACACAAAGTGTGTCTTTTCTACGAACACAATGAGCTGATGTTCTTTCTTAGTACACATCATAATGTGCAAGCCACTTTTGTTTCTACTCGAGTACAGGGACCGGGTGGGGGGGGGGGAGGGAGCCAGAGGGAAAGACAAGGGTGTCTGTTCTCCATTAACACAATTGAAACCAGACGTGTAAACATTGGTACCTGGTCATCAAAAGGAAAGGCTAGTTATGCGTGTATGTGTGCGCATGAAACATCCGCAGAAGATCTGAGTGTGCCCACATGAAAACCTTAAAGCAGAAACTGAAGAGGCTGTCTTTGGTTTTGAATCCTAGGCTCATGGAGGAGGAGGAAGAGGACGACGACAACGAAGCCATCAGTGGAAGAGTGGAAGATGTCCTTGGGCAACCGCACTCCGAAGTCTCCACAGATGTGTACAGCTCCCAGTTTGAAAGCATTCTGGACAATGCCTCTTTATATTATAGTGCGGAGTCTCTGGAAACTTTATATTCTGAGCCGGATAGCTACTTCAGCTTCGAAATGCCGCTCACTCCCATGATTCAGCAGCGTATCAAAGAAGACGCTCAATTTTTAGAAAGGACTCCTGATGGGGCAATAAGAAAAGGCCACAGCGACGGGATTGCCAATGGACTAGGAGATGTGAAGGAGACGGACATCACAGAAGCTTGTCATTTAGAAAGGTAACTAAGAAATGGCTTCCGTATTACATTTGCTGTTGCTTTTGCACTGATAATGAGCTTTTTAATCCTCACGGGTAGAAGAAAGTGTTAGCTGAGTGGCACATCACAAAAAAGTGTGTGTGTGTGTTTAATTAGTTGCTAGTAAAATGGACCTTGGTGGGAGAAGAGTCTCTATGCTGCAGAGACCTCTGAGCGGCTGTGTGTGCTCTGTGCACAGAGTCCTACAGTGCTGCTGGGTGTTCTCCTTTCTGAAGGCTAGCCGCTCAATGATAGAGGCATGTTTACGTGCACTCTCTGTGGATGAGGTTTTTGAGCAGGCTTCCTCAACCTTGGCCCTCCATATGTTTTTGGCCTACAACTCCCATGATCCCTAGCTAGCAGGACCAGTGGTCAGGGATGATGGGAATTGTAGTCTCAAAACATCTGGGGGGCCGAGGTTGAGGAAGCCTGTTTTTGAGCCTCTCTTTATCAGCACCATGTTCTTGGTTAAGCTAACAGTAGGACCAAATCTTGGAGACATTGGCTCTTTTTAATACCTGGATGGGCATGCAGTATGTTCAGTCAACTGCTTGGAACTTAAAACACAACAAATTCTGTTTATAATACCATATGTGCTATTCGCAAGAACCTTAGTTCTGCATTTTCTATTTGCTGTTGGGCTGTCTTATCAACAAAGGCTTTTGGATTTCATTTTACTTTCTCTTATTAAGCCTGTGTGGTGGAAGAAAATAAGTTAACAGATAGGTGGGGCTTCTCTGAGCTTTGATGTACAGCTTCAAGGCATGCGGCACTCAGTCCTATCTCCTAATAAAAAGTACGGGGGGGGGGGGAATTAAAGCTTTTAGCTTAAGCATCTTGAATGCTGGCAGTACAGCTTCCCGGTTCTGCATGTTGTAACAGAATGAAAGCTAGGGCTGAACTAATCTTCCCAGGGGAAGTTAGCAAGCCAGATTTACTTGGAAATTGGAACATAAGCTAAATATACCTCACATTTCCCCCAACTGAATGTGCTTTTAAGCTTGGCTGTGTTGCCAGTTGCTAGTTGGACATTTGTTTCTGTTTACTTATATTTTTATTTATTTGTGCTATTTATACTATGCCTACTAACCAAACTCAATAGATATTAAAGCCTTTAACGCTCTTCTGTTCCTCAGGATTTTGCAGTTTGATGCACTTGTAATGTGTACCTTTTAGAAATGTATTAGTCAGCGTCTCCTATATTGGCTGAATTTCCACATAAAGCCATGTTTTGGCAGTGCTATGTGGATGAGCTTCAGCAGTATGCTGTGCTTGCCTGCTCTTTCCTTCCACTTGAACCCGGGATCCCTGAGCTTCATAACAAGCCAGGGGAATATGATCTGCAGACCATGATACATTTTCAAGAAGTCCTTGAGACCACAAGACAAATCGAGGAATATGTTAAAAGACCTTTGGCAAGCAGAGGCTGAAATAAAATCACCCTTAAATAGCAGTGCCTTGGCTGACAAGCAACTTTGTGACGTGTGCTAGACGTTTCGCCCTGTCCGTTCACCATGCGTGTTTAGCGCAGCTGCATTCGAGTTCTGAATTGAGAAGCTTTTCAAGCAGACTCCCACATGGTTGCTGTAACATGGAGAGAGAAAAGGAATTATTACATGTTAGGGCTCAGAGAACAGGCAAAGGAGAATAGCGGCCTTCAAGACAATGGAGTTTTAACAATTGCTCGATGTGGCAGCCTGTGCTGATTCATTAGGATAAGTCATGCTGTCAGTAGAAGCAAAAAATGTTTAAAAAGGAAAAGGAAACCTGGAAGAACGCTGAGCAGCCAATAGGTGTCCCCTTTGAGCTGCCGTGAGGAGTTCAGTATGGTATTCAGAACAGCATGCTTTTGCAGCTTCTTGGTTCAAAGGTAGCTCAGGCTCCAAATGATACGGTCAACAACAACATAGCAACCCCCATTTATATACTCAGTGCAGGTTGGGGATCAACTGACTCGCATGGGAGACGAAATGGGCTGCAACATGGGAGGCACGGTTGAAGAGAGGCAGAATACACAACAGATTGCAGCTCTTAGTACTGAGTGGGGCCTGCTGGAAACTGAGCCTTTTTTTGTGGCCTGTGCAAACCCACCTTCCGTTTTGTTCTTGCTCACACTAGAGTGTGACAAAGAGACTGACCCTAGGAACTGACTTTACGTACTTATTTTTATATTGCACTGTGCTTGTGGCTGAGTAGGTGTGATAGCTAAGCTCGCTGTGCAGTTACTTAAAGCAGTTTGCAATCCAGTGTATGCAGCGGAACAGGAAGTTTGCTGGATGCGCAGAGATCAAAACCTCACATGGGGTGGCTCATGACTGAGAACAGGTCCAAGGAGAGAAACTAAGGGAGACTTAAGAGCAAGAATTTGAAAGGAAGGTGCAGAGTAAGCACTGGACTGAGAGATGAAGGGGTCAGTGGAGAATGAGGTTTGAGGAAAGAGGTGACAAAGAATTGATGCAGTGTGATAACATGGGAAACACAACAGTGCTAAAACAAGTTTTATAAGTCCAGAAAAATTATTAGCCTCCGTAATGTTTTGCTAGCCTGGTGGGGGCTGACAGAAGAGGGCTGGAGAGCTACATTTCCTCCTTTAGTAGCAGCCCATTTGGTTTCCATGTTAGGTACAGAGGAGGGATCCTCACTTACCAACTTGAAATTCCCGATCACCTATGGTTACCGGGCTAGTATTTAAACTCAAACTCAAATCTCTTTGTGTGGATGTTTTGAAAAAACAACAACCCCAATATCTTTATTAAATACTGTGTGATCAAATAAAAAAGGGAAAGGCAAGGTTTAATAACTCCAGAACTCTGTGGAACGTGGTCCCCTAATAATAGAGGTCTGGTTTTCTTACTTGCGATTGAATTGATGTGCTTAATCTCCTTTTCGAGCTTCTGTTCTTGTGCTACTTGCCCTTCTAGCTTTTATATGAAGTGTTTTTGGTTTGCTGTTTGCCATGTTAGAAAACTCCAATACAATATATGTTATAATAATAATAATAATAATTCCAGAACGGTTGAATGTGAAAGGAGCAACAACATCTGTGAGGCACTTGAGATGAAGAGGGGCCAAATACTGTGGGGCAAGAGAATGTGAAATGCTAGGGAGACTGTTGAGGGACAGGGTAGAAGAAGGAAGTGGAACAAAGTAGGCTGTGGCCTGAAAAGGCATAAATCTGAGGAAATTATTTTTTGGGGTGGAGATGTGAACAACAGCAGAACCAAAGGGTAAGTGGGACTGAGGTAGAATTGCACATAAGGGGTTAGAGGTAGGAGAAGTTGTGCTTTCTTGAAGGAAGTGGATGGGCAAGGGGAGGAACTGCAGATTGGGGGGTAGGGATAGGTTTCCTTTGAGGAGAATTTATCAACCCGAATATTGGAATTTTGCCACAGAAGAGTTTGTGACCTGGCCATCTTAAGGGGCCCCATTGTGGACTAGGAAGCAGTGAGCGATGGCGGGGGCTGAATGTCACAGACTGGCTTGAAGTAGCCAGCGCATACTTTGGCTCTAGACTTCCAACATTCATCTACACTCGCATGCAAAATACCCATCAGTATCATGGGCAGGTTGGTGTTGAGGAGAGGGCTTTTTACTATGAAGACTTCCAGCAGAAACAGTTTGCCCCGTACATGAAATTTTATTGCGCTCCCCTGAAGGATCCCTGACAGTGAGGGTTAGGTTGCACAGAGTCAGGGATCCTTGGCAATTTTTTGCCCTTAGGACAGTAGCGTTCCCTCCTCCCTCAGGACTCGAGGGTTGCCATTGGCGACTGTTCCTGTTCCCTGCCTCAGCTACTGGAAATCAGGCCACGCCACATCCACTTAGTCCCATCCTTAGTTCTCTGTTTTGGTCATGGTAGGGGCAGGCTGTGTGAGAAAAGAGACCACTTCTCTTTTTGGTGCCTTGCTACTCTTGTGTAACGATATACCGTTCCTCACACGTTTAAGTCCTCAGATATATGCGAATTTATCTCAGGTAAACACAGGTGAGAGGATTTCAAGCCCCCTTCAGCCAGGAGAGTTGTCCTGAAAAACAAATGAAGAAAATGGCCTCAGTCCGAGGGAGCCCTCTCTGAACCTAAGTCACAATATCTCAATATCTGCCTGCTCTCCATGGAAGCCAGTAATCCGATAAAGGTTTATGTCTTTGTGGCCTGTCCTGTTACGGTGCTGATGGCTGACTCCCATTGACCACTGTTTATCAGGGCTTCTGCATCTGGAACCAGTACGAAGTGGCGAAGTAATGTTCTTATACTACCGCAAACTCCAACCCACCTGCTTCCTAGTTTCTCTCATTCTCCTCAGGAAAGACAGCAGCCACTGTAAGGAGAACGAGAGAAGTGGTTTGGGACGCAGGCAGGCACGCACATGAATGAGCTCAGGTGCCCAATCCCAGGAAACAGCAGGTAGAGCTCGTGAGTGTGTGTGTCTGCCTCCCTGTCTATCTCCTCACAGGGGCCATTGCATTTCCTGAGGAAAAAACAAGTCAGTCAGTCACTCAGTCAGTCAGTCAGTCAGTCAGTTGCATGCATGAGCTCAGAGGCCCAAGCATGGAGCACAGCTGTTACAGCATCATGGCGTCCTTCAGAAATATGCTCCAGTTGCTTCACTCTGTGACTGGGCCTCCAAGCTCGTGTGTGTTCCTATCCACCTTCCATTCTTTTAGGGAATAGTAGGAACAGCTGCAGAGCAAAAACCAGGAAACATCAAGGCAGGGTCTTCTTGTTGCACCCTTCCTTCTGCTCACAACCTGGCCCCTATGGTCTTGGGCCAGGTGGTCTCGCTTTCCCACCTTTATTCTGTTCTAGTTGCAAAGGAATCTCTTCCACAATATCCCTCCTATTCCTACAAATGGCACAGATCGGCTCACAGCGGCTGCTAGACCCCTCTCCTCCTGGTAACGTATAACCCCTCTGTGCCACTATTTTTGGTATTCAGCTTGCCATTAGCAGGGAGCTCACAGAGGGAGATAAAAGGTTTGAT